CCTCCCTCCCATCGGTCCTGGCCAGGCTGTTGTCCATTCAGAGCTTGACCCATGCTTTCCATCACACCATTATTTGCAGTTCCCATTTCAGACCCTGCCAGGTGCCTGTCTCCTGTCTTTCTGTGTTTTGGAAAACAGGACAGAAGAAAGAAACCCCAGCACTGTAGTATTTCCAAACGCAAAACTAAGTAAAAAGATGCTGTTTTGTCAACGGTTCAAAAATCCCCATGACTGCTTCAGTGGGCAGGACTGCACAGGGGGGCTTGGGGAGACCTACAATGAGGTACTTGTCACCATCCTCACTGTGGTCAGGCTCTCAGGATGGCTGCTGCAAGGATATGGCTCTTTCCCCTTCCATCTCTCCTCTGCTGCAGCAGCAGCCTTGCAAGCAGCAAGGCTGCAGCACAGGGTCCTACACACATACACACACACCACCTTTCCATGCCTCCTCTTCCTTTAGGACAAGCAGAAAACAGCAGCAAAAGCTAAAACTGAGCAGGGTGGGGAATGCCTGGGATATGGGAGAGTTGGTTGGGTTAGTGCACCCAGAAATAAAAGTGGCAGTTGCTATTTTCTGGCTGAGCATGGATACAGCTGTGCCAGGGGTCAGTTAGGTGGGATATCAGGAAAAGGTTCTTCTCCCAGAGGTGCTGGCACTGCCCAGGCTCCCCAGGGAATGGGCACGGCCCCGAGGCTGCCAGAGCTCCAGGAGCGTTTGGACAGCACTGCCAGGGATGCCCAGGGTGGGTTGTTGGGGGCTCTGGGCAGGGCCAGGGATGGGACTGGATGATCCTTGTGGGTCCTTTCCAGCTGAGGATATTCTGTGAAAGGTTGTGAGGAACCAGGCATTTTGGGTTTTCAAGGGCATCCTGTGCCTTGGGTAACCAGGAGGCAGCACCTGCAGCCCTACACAGCCCCTGCAAACAGGCACACACAACCCCACTGACAGGCTGCAAAGCTTTCCTGTCCTAGGAAGAGGGTTGGGGAGGGGATTAGCTGCAAAAAAGAGGGTCAAGAGGGGCTTCTCCTCCCCTACTACACAGATGTCTGAGGTTCTTTGGAGAAGCTCACAGTGCGTAACAGCTGCTCCTGCATCAGCCAGCCATAGGTCCAGCTGCAACAGCAGAGCTCAGCCCCTGGGGCACCAGGGTACTCTGTGCCACTATTTCAGCATCCTGTATGGGCTGGAAGACAGCCAGGGCCTAGAACATCTCCCAGATTCCCTTAAATCCCAGAAGCCCAGCTGCTGCCTGCACCAGTGCTGTTCTGGTCCCATGCTCCAGGCAAGGCTCCCTGCTCCCCTCCCGGTTTTATTTTTTAAGGCAGAAGTCTTAGCTAGAGAAAAGGCAGGAGATGAACAACTCAGGAAAGCTGAAACATCACCCCTTTGGTGTGGGTGGCTCACCAAGTAGAGGGACTGACCCAGGAAAAAAGGAGACACTGCCATAGCTTCAGGCAGGGAATCCCAGAGATGCCTGTGGTCCTTCAGGGCCCAGGAAAAAGTGTCCCTAATTTGAGGTGCAAAAGCCTGTAGGTTGCATGTCCCCCAAAAGCAGGTCAGAGGGTGGAGAGAGGCTCTTCCATGCTGCTACTCCCTCCTCTGCAGGTAGGGGGAATGCCCCAGTGCTCCCAGCTCCCCCCAAACCCATCCTAGGAAGCTCCACAGCTTCTCCAGTCCCCGGAAATTTGGACTCACTCCTTTCCCCAAGCTCTGGCTCAGGCCAAAGCATGCAGCACTAACCCCCCTTTGAGACCACGGCACTGCCTGGGGACATGTGGCTGCCCAATAACAGAGAGAGAGAGAGAGAGAGATGGGAGCAGGAAAACTTGTGATTTTACCATTTCCATTCTCCAATGTACAATGCACCATTCCAAATCCAATGTACAGCAGAGATGAACTATGGTCCAGGTCCTGGTGCTCCCAACTCCCCCTGGTCCATCATTAGAACCAGGGAATGGTACAGGGATGGGGCCAGCCCACTAGTCTCGCCCCTCCTGTTCCATTTGACATGGGATAGGGGAGAGCCTGGACCTGCCCAGCTCTGGTCCGTGCAAAGCCAGTGAGCAGGCAGGTAGCTGTCAGAGACAGGCAACAGGGGCTGACCCTGCCCCTTCAAAGGTCTGCTGGGCAGAAAGCTCCAACCCTGGCACAGGCTGGAGGAGCTTCTGGCTGAGGCCAGCCTGTCCCCAAGTCACCCAGCCACCTGGACCTGAGCCCATGGGCACAAGGCAAGTAGATAAATCAGGGAAAAAACGCTGGGACAGTGTTCATCAAGGCACAGGGCGAGCTGGCAGGAGAGCCCCAGCATCTCCCTTGGGACAGCTCAAGAGGCTGTGGTGCAGCAGAAAGACATCCCTGGGGCAGCTGGGGTGATCCCAGAGGTCACTGTAAGGCTTGAGTGGTTCAACAGCAACAAGGACACTTCTCTCCCAGGGCAAAGGGGGCTGGGGGAGCTGCAGCAGAACTCGGATGGTGAATGCTCACAGTGGTTCAGGCTGAAGGTACGAGAGCCCCAGGGCTGAGGCTGGGGTCAGTGGCTGAAGAGGTTTCCTGTGAGGAGACGCCTCTTGACCTCTTTCCAGAGCAGGTCCCGCTCACGGTTTGCCCGCTGCATGAAGCCCCTGTTCTCCTGGGCCCGGCGGGACAAGTAAGGCAGCACCTCATTCACCGGCCCATAGGGCACATACTTGTACACGGGGAAGCCAGCCTGGCCTGCAGGGAGAGAGGCTGTGTGTCAGGGAAGTGCTGAGAGAGAGAAAAAATGTGCCAAAAATAAAAAGAAGGTAAAAAAAGGAGGGAAAAAGTGAAAAAATGTGATAAGGGGAAATAGTAGGAAGATACATGAAAAGGGGAAAGAGGGGGCAAGGGGCAAACGACAAGGGGGAAGGGTAGGAAGGGAACAGGAAGGGAGAGGAAGGGACAGGAATAGGGAGAAAAAAGGAGGAAAAGAAGGGGATTAAAGTGCAAAGAAAAAGGTTTGAGGATAAAAGGGGGAAAGAAAAAGAAAAGCAGGGCGGGAAGGAAAAACAAGGAAGCAAATAAAAAAGAGGCGGGGAAGAAAAAAAAGCCACCTGCCCTTCCCTGCCTGCTCTCCCATGCCTTGAGGCTGTGCCGATGGAGCAGGGATGGATGTGCAGGAGGCTGTGGCTGGGCACTTGGGAGGGAGATCCCAGCAGTGGAGGAGCCTGGTGGGGAGAGCAGCGGTGCATCTCTCCCAGCTCAGCACCGGGAGCTTGGGAAAGCGCCAGAGGGAGTGGGCCGAGGTCACTGGGAGCCCTGGGAATGTCGGCAGCCAGGGCTGGGCCAGCTCAAGGAGCGTTCAACCAGAAACATCAAGTTAACACATTTTTCCAGCATGACCGGAGGAGGCTGCAGATGGGCAGCCAAGCCCCACTTCCAAGAGAACTCCAGGACAGAGCAGCATCTGCGCTGGACAACTGCCCAGTTTGCCTCCTGCTGCTCTTCTGGCCTTGGGACTCTGCTCTGGACACTGGTGTGGGCAGGGGGATCAGTTCCTGACCTGGGCTGGCTACCTGGACCCTTGTGTGTCCTGCTGTCCAGGCCCCTGGCAGTACTGCTCCGCTGCCTGGGCTGGTGGCTGAGGACAAGGTCACACAAGAGGCTGGTGCCATCCTCTCAGCAGAGAGGCTAGGACTAGATGTGCACCTCCCCTGGAGCCAAGGGACACCCCCAGGCCAAGAAGGTATAGGAGAGGGTTTCTGTATGCCAGAACCAGTCTCTGCCCCACCCTGAGGCACCCCAATCTCTGCTCAGACTCAGAAATGGGAAATGTCCCTGCCCAGCCACTACAGGTTCATGGAACTCCAGGAGAGAGACGTGACTCTTATATCTCATCTATATACTTATATCTACATCTTCCACAAACCCCATGCAGGGATCACAGCACTCCCCATGGCAAGGCACTGTGCTCACGCAGCGCTCTATGAGAGGCCTTCCTTCCTTCCTTCCTTCCTTGCTTCCTTCCTGCCTGCCTTCCTGCCTGCCTTCCTGCCTTCTTTCTTAGGGGTCCTGGTGGGGCCAGAGCACCTCTGCCAAGCCCCCCACTCCCATCACTCACCCAGGGGGAAGGTGATCTGGTCACACATGCCCAGCAACTGCCCGAAGCACACCTTCTTGTCTGAGGGATGGATCCCCAGCTCCATCATCCTGCAAAACAAGCCTCAGCACAGGTGGAGAGCAGACACAGCAGAGCTCACCAAGGTACTGTGTCCCACCAGAGGATTGGGGATCATCTCCAAATAGGACAGCATGGCACTGACCACATCCTAGATGGATGCTGGGATGTAGAGCTTGAGGGATTTGATTTTACAACAGCCTCTGAATTGGTGATGGGACCAATTCTGCAGCCGCTGGGGCCACCATGCTGCTCCTCAGCTCCAAGCCCCATCTAAAGCCTTGAGCACCAGGTGGGAGCCAGGATTCCCCCAGGTGAGCTCAGGGGGGACCTGACAAACCACAGCACATCTGCCTGCATCACTGCTGGGCCCCCACATTCCTTAAGCCCCTTGTCCCTGCCTCCTCATGCTTCCTGCCCAGCACCCACCTGCGCAGGGTGAACTTCACTGTGTCCTCGTTGTGAGATGCCACCATCACGCTGGCTTTCTGGCTATGCTTGATCTCCTCCAGGACATAGTCCAGGCACCTGTAAGGCAAGACGGGCCTCTGGTGAAGCCTCTTCCCACTGGGGCAAAAGGCATCAGTGTGGCTGGGGCTGTCCCTTACCGGTGGTACATCTCGTTGGTCTTCTCATAGGTTGGGTTGATGGGATCTTCATAGCCCATCTGAGCCGCCCTCTCCCTCTCCTGCTCCATGTAGGCCCCACGCACCAGCTTGGTGCCAAAGTGCCAGCTCTCCCGGCGTGACAGCTCCATGTCCCCTGTCACATTGTTGTAAGCCTCCTGTGACCAGTGGAAGAGATGGCACAAGGACATTGCTCCAGTGCCACCCCTGACTGCCTGTGCCATTGCACTGCCAGGGCTTCAGGAGATGATGTACCAGAGTACAGGGACATGCCAGCCTCACCTTCAGGTAGCACTGGTAGGTGTTGTAGATGATGGGCTGGCTCCTGTTGAAGCAGCGTTGTGTCTCTATGGTGAGGCGGCTGATGGCTGGCTGGAAGTAGCTCTGCTCCGCATCTACCATCAGCCTCACACCCTTCTCCATGGCTCTCTGGGGGGTGAATGACACACAGGTTGGGTTCATAGGGCTGCCTGCTCCATCTGTCCCCCTCTGTGGCACCCCAGCCCCAGTGTCCCCTCACCTTTGCAAGGACATCCATGCGTTGCAGCACCCGCTTCATCTGCAGCTCCTCCTCCTTGCTGAAGCGTGATAGCAGAGGCTCCAGCTGCCCAGTCTGAAACAGGAACAGCTTTGTGGCACTCTGCCTGCACCCAGCTCTGCCCATGGGGGACACAAACACCCCTGGAGGGAACCCATCCCCAGGCCTGCTGCCCCATGCCAGTCCCCCAGCCCCACCAGCCAGCATGGCATGACAGCGTGACCAGCCTGCCAGCCTGGTAGCTGTACACTGTGCTCACAGCATGGCTAAACCCTGCAGCCACCAGCACCTACCAGGAAGAGCACGAGCCCCCTGCCCTGCTCCCACAAACACTCTGCGGGACCACTCTGGGGGTAGCAAAGCTGGGTACCCACCTTCCTGTTGGGGATGAGCAGAGGCCTGGAGAGCTTGGTGCAGCTGTCAAGCAGGCTGTTCCAGTCCAGCAGGTCCACAGTGCTGGGAGCAGAGAGCCAGGTCCTTGCTAGTGTCTTGGCAGGGGGCTCTCTATCAGCTCCCAACCCCCACCAGCAGGAAGGACACATGACATGTCCTGTCTTGTCACCTCCACCCAAACTTCCCCTATGCTCCATTGCTGTGCTCAGCCAGAGCTGGCCTCTGCAGATCTCCCTTTGCTGCTGCCCAAGGGATGGGGACAAAGTCCCCCAGTGTCCCTGCCCTGCAGCACCCACAGGTCCCAGGCAGCTTACCCGCTCATGCCCACATTCTCGCCTGCTAACCACTGCTGGCTCTCTGCCTTGCTCATGATGCCAAGGTTGGCCAGTGCCTCCTGCCACCAAAAGAAGCGTCAGGAGCTACAGGGGTCTGTCTGCTTGAGGTGTCACAGCTCAGGGCTGCTCTGGCACCTCTGTGTCCATGGCCACCTCCAGCAGTGCATCTCTGCAGCACATCCTCCTCCCACAGGCATCACCTGCCTCACCTGCAGCTTCTCCACCTCCAGCTTTGTGTCCAGCACAGCCCACCCGGCCTGGCCTTGCTCTGTGGCCATTTGGTGGAAGAATCTCCGCCACTTCACCAGCACCTCTGAGAACCGCACCTGTGGGCACAGGGCTCCAGGTGAGACACCCAGGCTGGAGCCTCCTGTCCTGCCAGGGCTTTGCAAGCTCACACCCAGCCTGAGACAGATACTGACCCCAGAAGGCACCTTGGCCAAACCAAGCAGTAAAGACCCCACACATCCCTCTTCATGTTGAAACCTTTAAAGTTCTAAACTCTTTGCGTCTCCCCTAAAGTTGAGGCAGGGTCTCCAGGGATCTCGGGCTCACAGAGGACAGCCTGTTGGTACCCACTACCCACTGCCATTACTAGAGATGCCACCTGCCCCAGCAGAAGCATCATCTGTGACCTTGGCTCTGCCCCACCACACTCTGTCACAGCTCTGGCACTCACCAGGAACTGAGGTCTGGCCAGTGCTGTCAGCTTGATGGCAGAGAAGCCATCCTCTGAGCTGCCACCTGGATGGAACCACAAGGACCAAGAGAGAGTCAACCTCACCATTGGTCCTCAGGCAGGAGAGATATGGCAGTGGTGGTAGAACTGAGAGATCCTTGCAGTCCCCAGCACAGTGGGGCTGTCCAGGACACGGGGAGCACTCACTTGAGGCATCAATACAGCGGAGGAAAGTCTCCATGTGTTGGTCACACTTGGCCTCATCAGTGTAGAAATAGGTGTGGGCACTGGTGACTCCACCATGGTGATCCCCAAATCCCTGATGGGCTTGGTATTGCTTCTCCCTTTTTTCTGCTCCTGGGGTGGAAGAGGATGAAGATGGGCCATGCCCCACCAAGCTCCTATGTCTTCCCCAGGAGCTTCCAGTGTGGGTAAAGGGGAGAGAGGCCCTGGCTTGGACATCAGAAGAGCCCCCCAGCACTGACATGGGCTCTGCTTGCTCTGTGCCTGAGCAGAGGCTGAGTCTTTGCTGAGGGGCAAGACTGGGCCAGGAACCACGTTGTTCTTCATCCAGCTCATTTTTTGAGGTTGTGGTACCTGGGTCCTTCCCCCACAAAACCAGGCCTGCAGTGCCTGGACCTCCAGGCTATCTCCTGTCACTCACCTCCCATCTCCTTCTCGGCTGCAGAGGTGCGGGAGCTAAGAAGAGAAACAGGGAAGGTAAGGGCCAGGTCAGCAACCCCTGCAACCCTATGCTGATGGACAGGTCAGTTCTGAGGCTCCTGTGCTGCCACCCTGGTGCTGAACCCTGCTGTTCCCTTGCCATCCCATTGCTGATGGGATCCAATTGGCAGTTCAGATGCCCAAAACCCACCTGTGGAAGGGAACAGAGCTTCACCATCCATCCAGGGAATGACCTGGGAGCCCTGAGGCAGCACAGTGAGGATGCCCTGTCCCAGGGTTCAGAGCTGTTCTCCAAAAAGCCACCCCATGGCAAGCACAAGATCAGTCTGGTGGGGCTGGCACACTCCATCTCCAACCTGCTCATGGTTCTTGCTGTGGTGACACCAAGCCTCAACCCACTGCCTCCTCATCTTGATGGAACCAGCAGCCAGAACATGAAGCAGAACATCAAGCCAAGGGTGCCCTGCTGTCCCATGCTCCTCCCCTTGACGTGGCTTCAGCCAGCAACTTACAATGTCTCGTTTTCAACTCCAGCTGACCTCAGATGGAATTTTAAGCCCAAACTCTCTGCCATGGAAATAACGGGGCTCTGATGGCCTGGGGGATGCTGGCCAAATCACGAGGTCCTTCCTGAGCTTGAGTAGCTAAGTCTTGTTGCTGACACCCTAAACCCAGGTGCAGACCCAAGGTCCCACCTGGAACAGGGCCAGCCCCTGGAGAGCAGGCCTGGGTGGCAGCAGAGCCATTTCCTCCAGGAGGTCTCTGCCTTGGCATCCCTGTCCCCAAACTGGCTGTGCCCAATGAGGAAGAAGCACAGTGTGAGGGAAGCAGCAAAGCCACCCATCCAGAGCCAGCAGGCCTGGACAGGAGAGCAGAGAGGCACATGGCATGGTCCATGTTCTCCCATATGGAAACACTGTGACAGGGGTTAGGGGCTGGTGGAAGCATAAACAAGTGGAAACAAGCTGTTCCCTCTGGCTCCCTGGAGCCAAGAACAGGCCCACATTGCTCAAAGTGCCACAAAGCCTGGTATGAGCCAGGGCAGGAGCAGCTGGAGCTCATATCTAGCAGCAGGCACCATATCTAGCAGGTTCTGCTCCCTGATTTACTCACCTGAGGACAGGGAAAGCAGCTTTCTGTCCGTGAGTACAGAGGGTGAAGGAAAGGAAGGAGAGATCTTGCACTCAGAAATGGGATTTGTCAGGAAAGGCCGTGCTAATGGAAGCTCCCTTTGGAGCAGGTGGCATGGCATAGGGGACAGCTTCAACTGAATACTGCTGTGACATGAGGGCACACAGAGACAGGGGTCCTGTGGGCAGGAGACAGATCTGAGCCCAAGGCACACCTGGGGCACAACATCCAAAGTACTGGGGACAGGTGGCTGGAGTGAAGGCACACTGCTCAAATGGCAAACAGCACCCTTGGATTTACGAGTGTTTTATGTTCCTGAAGATAAACACACCCTTTCCAGTAACATTTCTGCTACATGACTGAACCAGCTGGTCCTTCATCCTCTAGGGGGCATTCAAAGCAGTGCCACAGTGCTTGCTTTATTCTTCTGCATCAAGCAAAATGAAGGAAGCTCCTTCCAGCTGAAGAAATAACTTTGTCCTGGATATCAGCTGCTCACTTTGCAATATTAAACTTGGCCAGCAAAGCCATTCCCTCACCCACCAAGTGCCACTGAAGCTGGCTCATAATTGACCATCCCTTCTGCAAACCCACAAGTGTCTCAAAGCAGGTCCCATCTCTGGGCACACTGAGACACTCCTGGCAGGCTGTATCCAGACAGGAACAACCTCAAGGTTGAGCTCCGGGCCTGGGAGCAACACTTGCTAAAACCATGTTGTGAGGACTTGCTGGATGGCTGAGGAGGGTAATCCAGCTGACATAGCAGATGGGGCTTTCAGGAAGTTTTGGATCAGGCTAAGTAAACCAGCTCAGGAGCAGCACAAAGGTCCTGCTGTCAGAAATAATCCCTTTGGCCCTGGAGGTTACCCAGAGGGTGCCAGCAGCACAGCGGGTGTGCTTTGCTCAGCAGAAAATGGGTCTGGCAAAGGGGATGAGGGGTCAGGGGGAAGCTGTCCTTGAACTACCACATCCAAGGAAAAGACTTGTGGTCACATGAAGTCCATTTTGTAGCTACAAGTGCTGCTTAAAATCTCACAGGTAGGAATAAAGCAAAGCTCTTGGCAGAACAGACCTCAGAATAGACAGAGTTATCAGCACACACCAGCCCAGAACGACCACAGGACCACCCTGGAGAGCTTCAAGCTAAACAGAAGCTGCCCCATGACCCCCAGGCACATGCTGACAGAGCATAGGGCAGGGGTGGCAGCACCACTGGGAACAGGAGGAGAAGGGGAGGGGGCAGCTCTGGGAGCAGCATTGGCCAGGCTGGGGACAGTGATCCCACACTGTGGCAAAGTGTCAGATATCTACACAAGGAATTTCTAGAGGAAGCCAAGTCCACGGTCTGCATGGCAGAACCTGAAGAGCATCTGACAATGCCAGGGGCAGGATTGTCCCTCCCCTGTGCCAGCACACATCTGCAATCTTGGGATGCCTGTGGCCCAGCAATGCCCCAGGGTTGCCAGGGGACTCCAACCACCTCCACTATGGGGG